GGACCACCCCCGGTGTGGGCTTGGCGGGGCGGGAGCCATGTTTGCCCCCCGGGCATGTGCCCTGGCTGCTCCCGGCCCGGCGGGGGGGGACCCCCTCAGCCCCCCGCCCCCGGGGCCATGGCACAGGGGGACGCCGCCCACCTCCCACAGGCTGCCAAACCCGGGCCTCGCGTGCAGAAACGGGGACGGGGGTTCGGAGGCCGCAGGAAGAGCGGGCGAGGGCTCAGCCCGCCCAGCCAGCGCAGGGATGACCTCCATTTTCCTCCTGCCCGGAGGTGGGAGCGGAGCCGGCTGCGCCTTGACATCACCTTCTCTCTGTTCACTAACGGTGATTCTTGGCTGTTTTGGTCTTTCTTTCCTGTTTAACATCCCCTGTCCGGGAGGGGGGGTGGGAGGAGGGACAGAGCAGCCGGCTGCGGGGATGAGCAGGGACTCGGTTCCCAGCTCACCCAGCCTGTCTCTCTTTTTTACATCTTAATTCTCGCCGAGAGGCAGAGCGGGATCTGCCGCGGCATTTGGAGCTTGCCCAAGGAGGACAGCCTCTTGGTGAAGCTGGGCGGCAGCTCAGCCTGGCTGCGAGGTTTGGTGAACTCTGGGCTTCTCGCGGGGAAAGAAAAGATAGCTGAGAAATACAGAGCTTTCCAGAGGAGGCTTTGCGGCATGGCGCAAAGACCTTCAGAGATTTCCAGCCCAGTCAAACCGGTAAGTTCTCCCAGTTCCCACAGGGCTCCCATCTACAAAGGCTACTTCGGGGTAGGCAGAAACGTTCATGCTGTGCCCTGAGAACAGGCTGGAAACCACCGGAGCAGGCATCAAGGGTTGAGCCTGCAACACTCACTCAAGTCACGCATGAGGTTTTTTTCGGTGCAGACCTGGGGCTGTGCCAAGCCCCAGCACCCCCTGCCTGGAATGGGCACCCACCGCGAAGTGCTGTGATAGCCAGGAGACGCCATGCTCAGCTGCATGCCCAGGGCCTCAGGCACAACTCCTCTGCCCAACACCTAACAAGCTCCCCGTGCCACGGGCCATGGCATCTGCAAGAGCAAGGATACGAGAAGCTTTCCCCAGGAAGAGCCTCATCCACGCCACCAGGGCTCGGACGGACCGTGCTTCCCGGTGGAAGTGTGGCAGCACCGCAAGCTAGATCCAGCCCCTCCGAGGTGAAGCTCTCGGCATCACACTGCTGCCAACAGCGGACTTGGGAGAATCCCACCTCCTCAGGTGCAGGAGCAGGTACCCCAGCCACCCCTGGCAGCGGGGTCCCCAGGGACCTTCTCTGCAGCTTGGCTTCACCTAGCCCATTCCTGTGCTTAGCAATCTCCAAGGTGGAAAGACTTTGCCAGGACTTAAATCTCCTTTATCATTCCCCATACACACTAAAGCGTGCTTGCAAATGTCCTGCATGCCTCTCTTCTGCCTCGATTCCCCCCAGCTTTCCACAGAGGGCTGAGGGCTCTTCTCACATCTCTCACCCAGACCCAGACCCTTTCTCCAAGGTCAGCGCCCAAAATAGGCTACAGTCCTCCAGCACCAAGTTAAGGGGAAGAGTTATCTCCAAATCCCAAAACAGTATTTATCTGCGTTCTGTGGGTTCAGTGTCAGCCTGTGCCCCATTCTCATTCCACATCCTTCTCTTGCAGCTGCTGCTGCCTGCTTGCTTCCAGTGTGCCCATTTTCTCCTCCATAACCACTAGGTTCCACCCTAAACTCTACCATTTCTCCAGTTCAACAAGACTGTGGTAAAGCCTTTTCTCGCCCTCCCAGTTTGGGGTCATGCACACATTGTCAGGCTGGTCAGTCAGACCAGCAAGGGTTAGAAACCAGCCCAGGCTTCCCTCTCCCTCACATAAACCCAGCAAAACCAACTCAATGGACTCAGTTTTCCCATTTTGGAGTTGTTCATATTCTGGGAGCTGCATCTAAACGGAGGATGTTCCTTGCGAGACCACGATAGACCACAGAGCCACATGGCCTTGAGAGGACAGGTGCCAAACAGGCTGGAGATGCTGAGAGCTGCCATTCCTGGAGACCCACTGGTCTCCATGTGGTCTTCATGCCTGGAAGCATGAGGAGATGCTTAAACATGAAACCTCCAGGTCAGAGCTACAGGGGTTTTGGGGTTGCAAGCTGTGTCCCATCACCCGCATCAACTGGAAGAAACAGCTTCAGAAGCACCTGCATACTTCAGCCAAGCTCCTACGCAGGTAATGCTTGAGCCTGCAAGTGGTCGTCCAGCTGCTAGATCCCTCATTTTGGGGTCAACCACACCAGGAGACCAAGAAAACCCTCTGCTCTGCCAGCCGTCTGCGTTCCAGACCTGCCACGGTAAGCAGCACAAATACAAAGGAAGCAATTGAGGGCAAACCGGGCCCCACCAGGAGGAAACCCCGTAGATGCTGGGTCTCTGCAGACTCCTCGGCCAGCCCGAGTGCATCCTGGTGGCAGGCTGCAGCCCTGCCTGGGGCGGCTCCGGAGAGGGCAGCTGAGGACACTGCGGTGGGCTCACATGAGACAGCAATGACCTGGAAAGATCAGCCCATCCCTTCCTCCCTGCCTGCCAGCCACAGGCAGGGAATTAACCATTTTCTTGCCTTTTTGAGAAGGACTGAACTTATCACGTAGCCAGGGAGCTCAGTTCATGTCAATGCTGCAAGAGAGATACCTACCGTGACTTGACGGAGAAAGCCTCCAGGGCCTTCTAGCTGAAGAGCCACTAGGTCTTTAGTGGGTTCAGTGGCCCAGTTTCCCCTATAGTCACTAGCAATGACATCATTGCAATCACTGGAGACGAGGATGAATTACAAGGTCTGGAGGCGGGCATGCCCCAGACTCCACCAACTGCATCGGCAAGGGCTCCGGCAGCCGTCACAGGAGTCATAGGTCACTAGCTCAGGCAAAAAGTGAGCAAAGGGGAAATACAGGCAAAGCAGACATCAACAAAACTTCTGTGAGCTTAGAGGTGTCCAAACTGGGATCTTTGGTTTGGCCAGGAAGGGAAAGCCAATAAGAATAGCCTTTCATACAATAAAAGCACTGAACTCCTGTGGTATTTTCTCCTCAAAGTCATAGTATCTATTTCCGACCCCGGAGGAGGGTCTTTTCAACTTGCCAGAGAAAAGAAAGACAAAAAAAAAAACCAAGCAGGAAAAGGAAAGGGGTCAGAACGAGCACTTTGTCCACTCCCGACAAGGCTGTCGGGCACCCGTTTGTGTCACCGGACCAGCAGGACCGTGTTACGCTCAGCGCTGGCACATCCGAACCTGGGACCTGGCAACCGAAATTCCCTGGAGGGCAAGATAACCTCAGCAGCCTCTGAAAGAGCTGTATGTTGTGAAGCACCCAGCACTGTGAAATCATCAAAAAAACAGCCCTGCCAGTTGCTCAATGAAGAAAGCAGACAATGAAGCCCTGCTCCCACCAGCTCTCCCCTGAGTGGATTCTCCTGTGGCTAATAGGCACTGACACCAGTCTCCCCCCTCTACCATCGGCCAATTTTCATAAATCCTGCAGGAACCTCCTGCCTTGGAGACCTCTATCCCTCTTTCAGATTTCGTCAAAGGCAGGGTGAGGCGTTATCAGGACATCGATCAATACACGCAGAGTCCAAGACAAACATTTCTTGGGAGGACGCAGAAAAAAACGGCGCTTGAGCCAACCGTGCCATTTTGCCAGCGATTAACCACGAGCATCGTTAGAAGAGCGCTAGGCACTGCAGGCTGTCGAGGCAGGAGGCGGGACGTGTCTTTCCCATGATTAAACGCTTTCTAATCTGAAGTTGATAAATAACAAACCGCCATAGAAATATCAGATGTTGTCACCACACGGGCAGCAGCAGAGAACAAGGAGAGAAATCAATGTTTGCTAAACAGGCAATGAGCTTGTAAAGTTGGCAGAGGGAGCGGTTGCAGGGGAAAGGGCTCGGGGTGGGGGGCAGTTTCTTCAGTACTTGGCAGCTTCGAGCCCTGCCCCAGCCCCTGCCTGGCTGCAGCCCCCCCAGTCCCGCTCTGCAGTGCTGGGGAGGCATCAAGCCCGCTTCCCCCCTTCCCAGCCGGGTCTCAGGCTCTTGCTCACAGCCAGCCCCAGCCGCAGTGCTGTGCTGGTCACTGATGCCAAGAGTTTTCGGGAGAGGGGTGCAAGCAAAACGCCAGCTTCGCCAGTGCAGGTCAGCCAGCAGCACGACCCTGTGACGTGGGGCTTCAAGGGATGGGGGAACGGCAGGGGACCCGCTCCGGGTGCAAGGGGGTCCCCTCCTCGGGGCGAGGGACCCTCCCCGAGCACAGGCATGCGTGGGACAACGGTTGCGCCTGTTGTCCGGGCCCTGGGATTATGCAGTACAGCCTCTTTCTCATACATGCACCTGCATGAAACTCCAGCCTCCAAGGGAATCAGCAAACAATGGGGAGGATAATCATCAATCAAAAACCATGGCAAGTACCTGGCAGTACCCCTTTAAAGGAACACGTTATAAATAGACTGTATTTATATACAGATTTGGTTCAATATCAGCATTTATTGTCTCCTAGTTAAATATTTACCTGAGTAAATATTTGTTTCTCTGATCATTTGGTTTTGATATTGACCTCGATCGACGTTATTTTCTGTTTGTTCCTCAAGTCTTCTGGAACTCTCTGCAAAACGGGATTAGCAAAGAAACCCCCGGGGTTCTTCC